CGCCTCTCCGCGCTCGCCTCCTGCTTACCCACAAGGGCCCCCCCGGCGAAAGCCATCAGCAGAGACACCATGATGCCGGCCGCCTGGAACCCGCCTTGGACGCTGGGCGTCCGCGTCCGGTACTGCCCAGTGAAGTCAAACGCCTGGATAAAGCTGCCGAGGGCAGAAATGGCAAGGATTGCCCCCAGCAGGAGATCCTCCCCGGCTCTGGAGGAGCAGTGTTGCCCTGCTCCCTCGGGGAACCCTCCCTGGCCCCATCCCTCTTCTGCAACGGACCAGGAGACTGTTGCAATGACACAAAACACAGCTCACTTCCTTCTCCTCTGGCCCCTGGCAAAGCTTCACCTAGGAGAAGCCCCAAATACAAACATTTCTTTTGTATTTCAGACCTTCAGCCTCACATGACCCTCCAGAACAACACAGGGGTGGAGGGCGGAGCGCTGCCCTGCCCACCATGCCCCAGAATAATGCCAGAGAGTGGGGTCATGGCTCACTTTTTGAGGCCGTCAGAAATCGGCTGCAGGAGATGAGTCTTTTACTCTTCAGTAAGCCCAACACAGCCAGTGCACCCCCATGTTTTTGAGAGGGAAAGGGGCAAAGCTGTTAATTGCTCCTTGCTCCCGTCCCAAGGACCCCCAGGTAAAACCTATTCTCAGTGAAGGTTCTGAAGCTGTCTTACCCTTCCTTTCCATAGACATCCTCTGTGGCTGCAGCTGCAGTGATGGCCCCCACAATGCCCCCAATAAGGCCCGGCATGGCGTGGAGGTTGTGGATGCCGCACGTGTCCTGGATGTGCAACCTGGACTCCAAAAAAGGCTGAGGGGAAGGGAGTTAGAGGGACATCAGGGACACAAGTGCAGCCCTGGAAAGGATTAGTTCCTTGCATGGAGGACTGGGATAAGTGGAGAAGGAAGAGTGATATTGTGTCCCATTAAAGAGCTAAGGGCTTGTAGACGCAGATGTGAGCCAAGCTCAAGATAAAATAGCAATGTATCCTCCAAACACTCTCCTGTTCAGATACTAAACCTTCTTGAGCATTTTGGGGCAGTAAATGGAGTCAGAAGCGCATCTATGTAAGGGATGGTGGAAAGCAGGAACCCTTGAAGGGAAGTGAATCAATTTCTGGTCTCCCTGCCAGGCCCAGGGCTGCAGACCCCTAGAGCAGCACTCACCGTGAAGTAGACATACCCCACCGTGGTCACGATGCCACAGATGGACCCGACAATGAGGGAGCCATATGGAGTCAGCATCATCTCCGCACTGGTGCCCACGGCCACGCCGCCCGCCAGCGTTGCGTTCTGGATGTGGACCTGTAGAAGAAGCCGCCCTATCTTGGCATCCTGGGGAGATCGCAATTGCTCAGGGATGGTGCAAATGGCAAAGCAGGAGAATCAGCTCTGAAAATGTTTCCAGAGAAAATACCAGGGCCCATTTTCCTGCTTGTTGGTGAAAAACAAGAGAAGAACAGGCAGCCTCTGTCTGTAGCACAGGCTCACAGACTCCCACTCCCCGTACCACACACATTCTTTGCATCCACAAACCTGGGTGGGGAGCTGTGATGAGATGGAAATTGTCTCACCCATGTGTCACGCAAGCTCTGCTGTCACAGAGACATGTCACCCACACACATAACACGTACAAGTCACCCCCCGATTGCTCACGAGCTGCCGCGCAGGCCCTGCTCAGCTCGCTGGAGAGCACTGCCAAACACGGCTCTGCAACATGACCATCAGGAGCTCTTTGGGCAGAGCAAGTCCAGCCCCTGCTGCGACTTAGGTCCACTGCGTGCAGGACATCACCCAGCTCCTCAAACGCTGCAGGACTCACTTCCCACCTGCTTATTCAATACAGCCTCTGGGTTTCTGCCTGGATGCTGTTTGCACCACCGCTCTCTGAAACCCAGTGCCTGTTCAGCAACTGACAAGTGACAATCTTTTCCTGGACCCTCGATCGACTTCATTATAAGTCCCCTGGGCATCACAGGGCTCTCTGCTCCCACCTTACCATGTCAAGCTTGCCTTTCTTCTGCAGCATGCTGGAGAAGGCCATTGTGGTGAGGACGCAAGCGGCCAGCGAGCAGTACGTGTTTATGGCAGCCCGGTGCTGGGCATCTCCATGATTAGAAATGGCTGAGTTAAAACTGGGCCAGTAGGTCCATAGATACAGGGTGCCTGCAGGGATGAGGAGGAGGCGATAAAGAAGAGAAAGGGAAAACAGGGAATACAGGGATTGAAAAAACCTCTAAAGAAGATCTTTCTGCACAGGGGGAAGTTAAATCCCATAGTCCCACTAACCCGGAGGTGCACCCCCATGATGGGACCAGCATCAGGAGGGGCTGGCAGAGAGGAGGATCCAAAACGCATCCTCATCTTCCCAGGCACCATCTCAGCCCAGCCACTGATGAAGGGAGCTGAGTAGCTCTGAGAGGTGGAAGACCGAGATACAGAGCTTCTCAGCCCCAGATCCTGATTTCAGTTTTGTTTCCCCAGAGACGTGGGAGGGACCAGCCCTCTGCAGCCGAATGGTCTGCATGCACCAGTGCCCCCGAGGTGGGGGCTGACTCACCGATCATAGCGAAGAGGTCGGAGTGGTACACGGAGCCCTGCTTGTCCTTACTTTGCTCCAGGTTGGGTCTGTATAGGATGCGTGTCACTGTGAGGCCAAAGTAGGCTCCAAAGGTGTGAATGGTCATGGAGCCACCTGCGTCCTTAACCTGCAGCCATGGGAAAACAGAGGTTCGCTTCTGCAGTCACTACTTGTTTTGGAGCTGAGGTCTGGTTTGCATCATGCCCAACTTGTCTGCGCACCCGTCCTTCCAGCCTGCACTCAGTCATGGGTAAAGGGGGACAAAAGTGCTCTGGTCCTGCTGTCTACCCCACTCACTTGGTCCTGTGCATGGCCATTGCATTCCTCCTAGCTTTCCCTTGGAAGTCGTCGAAGCAGAGGGGAGTTTCCTAATGGCAAGCGGGTTGCGGCGATAGCCAGGTTGGCTCCCATGTGCACTCAGGTCTTCTGGGAGCTAATTTGCTTCCCAGCCCTCCAAGCCCTCTCTCAGAGGGCAGGAGTCCCGCCTCTGTCAGCAGACATCTTGTCCTCTTTATCTCTTGATTTCCTTCTACAACACCCATATCCCAGCAGGTAAAACAGACGAGCGGGAAATCTCAGACACAAAGAGAATGACTGGCCCTTTGTGCTAAGACTCCCTGCCTGCCTCGGGAGCTGTGGCGAAGGGACCCAGTGCTCTTGAATCACCAGGCTTGTGTGTAAAACTCTGGGAGATCTCCCTTCTCAGGGAACCCATCTTTTATAATCTGTCTAATTTTTCTGCCTGAATTCTTGCATTTCAAATGCTTGTGAAGGCAGTGGCTTGGTGGAGCCATAGCAAGGGGAGACAGTTTGGAGAGACATGGAGAGGAAGGAGCAGAACCAACTGGGTGCTGCCTAAAGCCTTACGTGAAGCAGGTTGAGGAGGATGTACTCGTTCACCGCGAAGAGAGGGACTTGAAACAAAGCCATGACGAGGATCTGTATGGGGCTGGTTTTGCCCAGGATGGCCCCAAAGGCAATGCACACAGAGCCCACACAGAAATCAGCATTGATCAGGCTGGAAAAGGCGAAGGGAAATTGTGGTTTAATAAGGAAATCCTCTTCCATAACTCAGCCTCACCTGCCCCCAGCTCTAGAGATCCCACTTGAAGACAAAGAGGTGATTAGGAGCCAGCTCTGGATTTCCCACTGACCTTCCTCCCATCCTGACAGACTGTCCAGGAAAGGTGCTTTCCCCCAGATTATGTAAATAATGTGGGATATCTATGTTCTCAGCACTAGCATCCATGGTGCTTGGCTTGGGACTAAGGGGCGATGCTCATCTTGCATTTCCCTTTGAACAGTACCACCATAACGGCAGGTACCTTTGGGCTAAAAGGTGGAAAGCCAGTGGAAGTATGTGGAGGGAAGACAGCATTTTAGACTCATTTGCACACAACAGAGGGACAGGCGCTGCCAGCTGCTTGGCTCCCATCCCAGCTCTTCCACTGGGCAGTCAAGAGGTGGCATCTCAGAGCCCATCTCCTCCTTACTTCTCCACTCCGATGAGGATCTTCCCACTCTTGAAAGAGTGGAACCAGCCTTGCATCAGGAGAGCCCACTGGATCCCAAAGGCAGCAACGAGGAAATTGAAACCCACAGCTCCAAATCCATAACGCTTGAGGAACATCATGAGGAAGCCAAAGCCCACAAAGATCATCACGTGGACATCCTGGAAAGCTGTGCAGAGGGAAAGAAACATCAGCTCTGTGGGGAAGGCAGGGCTGCGAGTGCCGTTTGAAGTCGTCGGTGAAAGGAAACTAACAATATCGGTGGTGGAAGGGGGGAAATTCAAGAGAAAATGTGTGTTTGTCCCACGTCCCCACATTTCTAAGCACTCAGCTTACGGAAACTGGCTTTTGGTTAAAAGGCTCAGTTTTGAAAGTAAAAATGTTCTTTAAAAGCTGCGTGCAAGAGAATACCAGAGACTAATGGAATGTACAAAGGAAAACATTTTTCTATTCAGATTGTTTTTTCCCCTTTTGTAAAAAATTCAGAAAATGTCACATAAAATGGACTGTGAAGTTTTGCTAAAAACACATGAATGGTCATTTTCGGTAGGCCCATCCAATGCAGGGTCCTGGTGATGGCTCAGAGCAAGAAGAATACAAGAATAAGGGAAGTTTACAAATACATTTTTAAACGCCGCTGAAAACAATAGCAAAATACCTTGAGACCAGGATCCCACCTTGTGAGGTCTTGAGTGCTTAAACCAGAGAGACCCAGTTCTGTCCACAAACGCTCAGACTCGCTAGCTTGAGCCCCTCAGATGCCCTTCCCCGGGGGAAACCAAACCTGTGTGAGCCTCTTGAAAGAACTTCTTGGTGCAGTAAACCTGCTGTACTTTTTAATGCTGCACGTTTCTATCAGATAAGCATCGCTTTGCAATTAAGCGAGCTGAAACGCTGCATGCTTACAAACGGATCTAGGCAAACCTTCACGCTGGAGGACAGCCTGCCCATGAAAGGAGCAGGAGACCCGAGGCTGGGTTCCCCCGCTGGGAGACTCCCACCAGCAAACCCGCACTGTGAAACAGGTAAACACAGCACAGAGTGAGCTACGCCAGCAAGTTCTGCATTACACAGTGCACAAACCATTATAGCCTCTATAACCAGCAACGTCTGTGTGCCTCAGAGAAGGTACAAGCTCAGGGCAAACAAAATTCAGTGACTGAGAATCTGCTCTACCCTGAACCCGTGCTAGAATCCAGCGGCCCCTGATCCGCTCCTGCAGGGACGGTGGGGTCATATCTGCTGCTTCCACTAAGGGCTGGGTGAGGATCCGGGTGTAGCTCTGCAGAAGTCTTGTTTCTCGTCGTTTCGTTCTTTACAAGATCTTGCGACTTGTTTAAGGATGAGCATTTGGACAGGCTCCAGCAGTGTAGTGCCATGTTGCAGAGACAGGTTAATCTGCTTGTTTTAAAAAGTGTCCCCCATGCCTATGAAATCACTCGTAAAAAAAGGAAGGAGACGAGATCAGCAGCTGGCACTGTTCAGCAGAGGTCACTTCAAATGCACTTCTCCGCATGTCCTAAGAACCAGGCTTCCTAACTCTTGCTTTACCATACAATCCCACAGACTTTCCCTCTGCAGCTGTATTTATTCTCCCCACCTCTCTTCTCCAGCGTAAGCAGCACAATACACAGCTAGATTTTCTGCTGCCATTTGCAGTATATATTCCCACTCCCACCCGAAAAGCAGAAATACACAGGTCAGAGTTAAAGCTGCGGACTGCAAACCCTCTGAAAACACAGAGGATCCCCGCTGTGTGATAGATCCTGTACAAACCCAGGAGGAAGAGCTGGTCTTTCTTCAAACAGCACCCAGTCTAAAGCCTTTTTCTAAACCTTGCATTTGTTTTCCCTTGGGAAGAATAACATGGACATCACTCAGAAGCAGCCCAGGTGCGGCCATGCCCTAAAGGTTTTATGACCCTGCTTTTGTGAGAGGGCAATTGCTGTCACTATCAAGACAAAGTGTTTGGGCTTGGGAATGCTACCTGTGCCAAAGAATCTCATTTCCTTTTCCTGAAGATCAGATGAGTCACCCATTAGGGAATATCACTATGCGATTCAAAATGAGCGATTGTCTCACCGACTGGACCTGGCAATGGGCACCACTGACACAACCACACACAGGCTTCCTCCTGCCTGCTTCCCCAGTCAGCTCTGGGCTTGGAGGACCCGTCAGTTTGTCACTGCTGTCCCGCTGCCATTGCGGACAGGTCCTATGGACAGCAGTGGTCGCAGACACGATGATACAAATGATCCTCGGGTGTTTAACCAGCACACTCTCTTCTGAGCAGCGCTGGATGGACACAGGGATCAAAATGCCAGGGCTTGGTTGCCTTGCCATGTTTGTTCATCTTTGCAGAGAGAGAATATTTCTGATCAGATAATGGAGAAAAACCATCTGTGCTTTTCGGCACGTGAGCCCTTCCTCAGGTCTGAAAACAGAAATGTAACTCAGAGCTCAACTGAGCTAAGCAGTTGCTCTTAGGTTGATTTAGTTGTGTGAATCCATGCAGTCATTTGAGGGGGAATATCTGGTGCTGCCCAGCGGGGGTGGGATATGAGGAGAGAAGAGATGGCATGTCCCTAGCTCCTACAAGCTCTTTCTTGGACGCCTGATGTCCCCCCAGCACATCAGTGACAAGAGCAGCCCTCGGGCACTGCTGCTGCTTCACGCCAGCCTGCGTGGGGTTAGTCCCAGGGGCAGATCTCGAGGGAGAGCCCAGGGTAGCCATGGCTGTACACTAACCCGGAGGCCAGCTGAGCAGCGGGTTTCTGTAAGCAAATCCTCTTCTGAACTACCTAATCCTCAGCAGCTACAGGTTTCTATAGCTCCTTTGATTTAGCAGGTGTTTTTAATGGAAATGTTCTAAATAGACGCATGACTCAGGCCCGTTGCTTCCTTGGAAACAATCACCTACAGAAGCAGCCTGTTCTGAACGGCTCGCAGAGCTGACCAGCCCTGGAGATCAAAGCCGGCCAAATGCAGCGCCTGGCCAGAAGGGCTTTAACCGCCTGAATAATCCCCGCGGCAATACGATGCAGCCACCCAAGAGCCCCGGGATTCTGGCAGGTTAGGAGGACTCCAGCATCGAAATGCCAGTAGCTAAAGGGTGATTTACTAGGGAGGGGGAGGATGTTGGAAGGGGAGGAAGATGTCACAGGATCTCGACAGCCGTTTCTCTGTATGCACAGAAAAGCTCGCTCTGATCCAGAGCCGAGGGAGGGGGCAGCAAGCCGAAACTTGCAGGGTGCTGGGAACATGTCAGGCCTATTCCTGGAAAAAAGACGTCACGTACTGGTGTCATGGTACCCTGCTGACAAAGCCCCAAGAGCACTGGAGGGCCACGAAGCTTTGCTCTTACTCTTTGGTGTGCCCCAAGCCAGCCTCAGGGCAAGAGCCTGACTTTCCAGCAGTCGGTGGAGACGTTGCTTTTGACAGGCTCTGCCACGGGGTGGGATGCGATGGGTTGGGATAGGATGGGATGGGGAGCAGCCAGCACCGGGACTACGCTTCCCAAATACTCACACGGGTATCGGAAGTAGAAATCGTTCTCTATGTCGCTGGTCAGGTTCATCTCTCGCTTCTCTTCCTCCCAGTGCGCGTCAGCTTCGGGGCCGAAGCGCACGAAGACCCCGAAGAGGACAATCATGGCCACCTCCCAGAGGAGGCAGACG